GTTGCCGATCCAATTCCACAGAGCGCCACCGACGAGCCCCTCCAGGGCTCCAGCTTCCTGGTGCATGTCTTTCCTGGGCATCCTGGACAGACTTTTGCGGAGCCCGATTCAATCCCCTCCTTCAGGTTGCATGCGCCCCCCCTCCACCCCTCGGCGAGATTGGCCGCGTGCCCCCAAAACTGGCTCTGGGCCGACTCCACGAGTACATCGCACAACTCGGAGCAATCCCCGGACAAGTCAGGATCGAACGGCCGCCCGCAACCCTCAACCCCCCCCCCCCACGATCAGGTTCTACCCCGACCCATCCTAAAGCTATGAAGGTGAGGGTCACGGCTCCCGTGGGCCCCGTGCAGGCCCTCCGCCTCAGCTTTATAGCCCCCCACCCCGTCGCGCGCGCTGCCTGAGAAGGGGGGGGGATTCTTCGCCCAGGTGGCGAGCCACTTCTTGGCCCAACGTTCTACGCTCATGGTCCAAGGCTTCCTCTTTTCATGCAGCAGCAGCAACGTGGCCATGGACGCGCAACACAATTTCTTGCCAACGCCAGCAAGGCCCGCAGCCAAGGCTCTGCGTCGACGCATCTCTGGCGGGGGGGGGCGAAAAGCGGACTGCCGCAAGACTTCTTAGCGCTAACATTGCTACTGCGCAGCTGGGTTCGCTTCTTTCTGCAGGCCCCCCTAAGAAACCCAAGAACGCGGGCCCTCGCGGCCCTCGCTCTTCCAAGACGCGCGCGCTAATCAGCTGTAGTCCTGCCCCGCTGTTGTACCGTGATGTCGTCGGCCCCGAGGGCCCCCATGGTTTTGCTACGCTTGAGTTTGATGCCTATGTCCTCCAAGGCACCCTCAACCATGTTACCTTCTTGAGGGTCCAACGCCATGATCGCTGACTGGTTGGATTCTATCAGCCTGGAACCAAGACATCCCTGTGCAAGGGCAGTAGCTCCCTCCACAATTGCTTGCCCCGCGATCTCTGGAGGCCCCCCTACCCCTGCCAGGGGCATTTACCTGGAACATGATCAATCAATGACCTTGCGCATTGGTTAGCCTTTCCGCACCCGCAGACAATGCCATGTTCTGTGATGATGAGGTCGCTGTAGATGATTTGTCACAATCCAACGGTTGCGCTGCTAGGGTACCCAAGTCCACTGGATCGTATATTTTCCTCGAATCCTAGATGGGCGATGCTGTGCTAGCTTCATCTAAGCTTGCCGGGCATTCCTCTAGGACAGACGTAATGAGAGCTGACTGCAGGGCCGAGCTCTTCTGCGCTGCAGCATCTCAAAATCCCGCCCGTCGGTCGCACCGATTGGTCAGCATTCCCTCGGCCATCTTCCCCCACGCCCTCAGCGGCATGGGCGGCAGCCTTATGGGACGTTATTCCCCTGCTAGCTGTTTGTTTGGTTTTTGGGGCAAAGCGTGCCACATCTGCAAGAGTTGATGGACCACTGAAGGTCTCTCGCACATGTAGAAGAAGCGACGATCCATCCCTGTGCTGCGGGCCCAGCGCACGCAACTGGCCAGGCAACCACTTATCTGCGCTCAACCCAGTGCCTGAAGGGAAAACACCCAATGCGCCATCCAGCTGATTCAAGGGCCTCTACATCAGCTCATCCTGCGCTTTGCACATGCGAATGTCAAGCGCCCCATGCAACTCTGCTGCGCATTCTCGGTGCGCCGTCCAACGTTTTTGCCCGCGCCTTGCGTCTCAGGTCGATGCCTTCGTTTGGGCCCACCTCCCATCTCGTTCGTCTCAGAGCCCAGGCGCCCGCTGCCGGTCTCGATCTGCTCTTCTTTTCCCAGGTATCTACGGGCCTGCCTGCGCGATCCGGTCGCAGCTTGCGCCGCCCATGCTCTGGCGTGGGGCCGCGTCGCCCTCCGCGCCATCTGCGCGCGCCGCTCATCTCTCCGGCGGGTCCACGCCGCCGCCTCGCTGGACGCTGCATGGGCGAACTGCGCCCTGCTCCGCCGACCGCCCTGCCCACCTGTGGCCGGCGCGCAACCTCTAGCATCCCGTCGCGCATGTCAGGCCCCACTGGGCACTGGCGTCTCTCGCCCGTCTAGGTCGGCATCCAGGTCGGCAAACGGAGCATGCCCATCATCATCGCAACCACTCTGGCGGTCGCCCTTGCGGGGGACTTCGCCGTCAGCCCACCCGCTGAGCGATCCACCCCATCTGGAAAGATCTGCGCCGCGGATTGATCATCTCTTGCTTCCGCCCCAGGACCTGGAACCAACCCCCTGGTCATGCCGATCTCCCCCAGCACTGCGCCATCCGGATCTTGATCTTTCTGATCAGCTTCCCGATCTGCATGGTGACGAAGTCTCAGTAGCCATTGCCGCAGTCGGCCCACTGCCTGGCGCGCAGCATCCAATTGAGCTGCCCTCGCACATCTCGCCAGAACGGCGGCCCCCTCGCGTAGCCTGAAAACCAGCGGTTCCCGTGCGTTTGCCGCCTCGCGCACTGCCGCGTTGGACGGGTCTGGCCGTTCCTGTTCCACTGTTTCATTTGAAAACATTTGCCCGGTCGCCCTCGCCACGCGCCCAGTTTCCGCCCCGCGTCTGTCACCGCGCGCGGCGGTCTCTCTGCAGCAACCGTCCATTCACCAAAGTGTTGCCCCAACATCCAAGCGCCGTCTCGGTCGCGCTTGAAGGCCCAAGATTGTTCCGTCGCTCTCAGGGGAGGTTCTGGCACGCGGTGTCGAGCAACGCGCGGCGCCTCCTGCCACCGCGCACCAGACGCTGCGTTGCGCACCACCTTCATATTACACTCATCAGTCAAGTTGGCGTGTTCGTCATGCCCCAGATCTCCTGGCACCGCGCCATCCTGCACTGCCTTTTCTTGCTGCCAGGCGCGACGTTATCAATTTTCTGTCGCCGCTCGACGACCACCTTCGCCTCGATATTTGGAATGTCCAACTTCGCTGGCAGCGTGGGGGCCTGGATGAAGACAGCTGCAGGTCGCGCGCGCGTAACTCCAGATCCGAGCCAACACGCAAGCCCTAGGGGCCATTCCGAACAGGCGTGACAGTTTCGACCAACGGCAAGAAGTTTCTCGGTAACGCTCCATAATCCAGCTCACCCGCCTTCCCAAGTGCACGCGTTATCTCACAGCCCGTGGACGAGAGCAGCTCCCCTTGCAGTGCCATTGGCCATCTCGTGCGACGCATTTGCTCTGGAGCGTTGCTCCAACCGCCAATGATGGCCCACGGCGCTGACTTGGACTTCGCATTACGTAGTAACTGAACCATCTGCTGTGCATAACCACCCTCGGAGTAGATAACAACCAGCCCTGCGGCAACTCCCTGCAGCCGCAACAAACATACTGAGGTGTCCGTCAGCCGGTTCTGGAACGCGATCTTGCCCGATCCGTCTGCGAGGTGAGCCGCGGCCGTCAACTTGCCTTTTGCGATCCAACAGTTGCCTCCACGCGCGCCTCTCGCAGTGGTGCCCGTCGGCGTCCCCGGCGTCCACGCGAACTGAGACTGCCACCCATGACGTCGTCGATTCTGGGGTTCAATAATGACTGGGTGAGACAGCAGGCGCTGCTTCGCCAGGCCCATCACTTCAAAATCCCCATGCTCGATGCAGTGCGTGACCTGCTCACTGCAGCTACTCATGCTCGCGTGGAACACGTGGGCCGCGCGTCCCAAAGACGCTTGCCCACAGACTCTGGGAGCCGCCTCAGGATTGCTAAAGTTGGGACTCTGCCTTCCTTCGGCCCTAGCCCGCCCCCAGCCCGTAGCAGCCACTGTCGGAAGATGCGCCTTGACCTTCGCCTTGATGTTGGTCGTGTCGCGAGGCGTACCGATCGACTGCCTCTGAGTCTGTGAAGTCCACCGTGGTCGCCTCCTCTTCTGGCTTCCGCTTGACCACCGTGGCTGCTGGGGCTTCCCTTCCTCCAACTCCACGCCCGCGCTTCGCCATCGCCGCCGAGTGGCGCTTGCGGGTGCGTTCAATTGCCTCCTCGGCGCTCTTCCATGCTTCATTTGCCTGTCGCAATACATCTCCAGCGTGATCGGCAGCAGCCCTTGCCGCAATATGCTCTATCTTCCCACCCTCGCCCAGTGCCGCCAGGTCCTCTGCCGATGGCTCTGGAAAGGTGTCCTCCTCCGCTGCTGCCTCAGCCGCCGCAGCCACTATAGCCGCACCTACTGAGGTCTGGACGTTGTCAACGTTTGCCTGCAAGTCCAGACGCTGTTGGATGTTGGCCACTAGCTTATCCTGCAATTCATTTTAATATTTGGCCGCCGCCACCCAAATTCACTTTGAGCCGCCCCTGCTGCGCCTGAGGCTGTCTGATCTGAACGCTCGTAGCCAGCAAATCCCTCCTCGTTTATTGGCATCGGCGGGGGCTTCCATAAACCCACCAGGTCGGGACATATGACTTCCAAGGCATTATGTGCGTTCTCGTCGTTCCCCTGCTTGGCCTCGGCATACTTCGGGAGCAAAGCGTTGCGCAGGGCATCCTGCCGGGCGGCGCCTTCTCCGCCACGCGACTGGGCACCACCTTCTCCCTGCAAGCGCACTCGTGGGCACAACGCGCTCCTGAAATACTCCGCAGCTGCGACGCGCTTCCCGACCTGGTTTGCCCAGCTTGTGATCGAGCACCCAAGACTTAAGACAAGCAGGGCACACTGTGTGCTTCTGCTGCTGGATCCGCCTGAGCGCACGTGCCCCCGCCGACCCTTCTGCATCCTTCTTCCCCATAGAATTGCACACGAACTTTCGCCGCCCGTCTGGGCGCCCCTCAAGCCGCGGGCGTGTCTGGCTCAACAGGCTGCGTCTGTGCTGACACACGGTACGCGCGCTTGTGGAGACCTGACACCCCCCAGAGAAGGTTGGCCCACGATGGCTTGAGAGGGGCCAGGGAGAGAGACAGGTGCGAGGGGGGGGGAGGGGGGGGAAGCACAGGGGCGGGGGAGGGGAGGCGGGGGAAAGAGGCCAGTCGGGTGCGGCGGACTCACGGCGGGCACGCCCCATGGCGGCGTCGGTGGGCCGACCCGCCTCCGCGGGCGCCCGCCGAGCCGTGCGCCCACTCTGCGGGGACACCTGAGCCGGGGGGGAAGAGAGGGGGAGGCCTCCTCCTCCTCCTCCTTTTCCTTCTTTTCCTGCTCCTCCTCCTCCTCCTCTTGCTCCTCTTCCCTCTCACTATCCTTTTCCCTTTCCGCCTCCTCCTCCTCCTCCTCCGCCTCCTCCCGTTTGCTTTATCAACAACTCACCCCTGTCGCACCCCGAGGCGCATGGGTATGGCGGACCGGGAGTTTCGCCCGAAACGTCCTCACCATCACCATATGTGCCCTTGATTTTGCAAACTGTGCAACAATCTTACAGATGGAGCGCGGGCGGTGTTCAACATCTTGCTCGCGTCTGAACGCCGCGCAAATCGTCTTCAAACTTGCAGGGGTTTCACGGGTGGAGGGCGGACAGTGTGGCTCTGGCCTGGCGCCGCGCTTACTCGTCTTTAGCAGTGCACACGCGCTTCCAGTATGGACGGCGGCTGCTTCTCAGCATGTGGCTCTCGCCTTCTCGCCGCGCGCATTCGTTATGTATCATGTTGCTCCCATCGTGCTTAAGGACCACATCCCAGAAATAACTTCGAGCACCCGGAAAAGTGTCGAAAGAGTGTCGAAAGAGTGTCGAAACAATGTCCGGCGAGTGTCTCCCAGGGCCCGACACGTGAAAACCCTCCAGTTCCTGGTGCTCGAAATTCTTTCTGGTGATCAAGGCTAAACTAGGTTGGAACATCATAACTTTTGCAAGTGGGCAACAGGTTCAAGGATGGAGGTTTGTACCTTTTTAACGCGTGGCTCTCGCCGATTCGCCGCGCACATCCCCTTTGAAATTCTGCAACAGTGTTGAGGGTTTGCACGGTTGAACTCCCAGGAATGGTGTTCGGGCACGGTTCAGGAACGTCAGGAAGAGACAGTCACGTTGACTCGCGGCGGTGAAGTCACAGGAAAGGTGTCACAGCGCGATATAGGGTTATCAGGACGCAACAATCACGTTGACTCGCAGCGCTGACATCCCACGAATAGTGTTTTGGCACGGTTGAGGACTCTCGTCTTCCTATGGGGCACGTCCCGCAATGAGCAGAACTGCATGTAGGGACCTGTGAAGATGGAGCTTGAAGGAAAGGCATATTGCAACATCGTGGATCCGTCTTGGGTTTACACTGGTCCTTCTCTCCCTCCTCCCTCTCCTCCCATTTCTCCCTGTCCTCCGCCGCCTCCCTCCCCAATCCTCCTCCTCCAAGGGGTTAAGACAAGAAGAGGAATCACACTAATACCTCACTGGTGTCCGGCAGGCGTTCAACAACGGCACAACCAAATCATGGCTGAGGCGGCCAGAACCCTACAACATGCCGGTGGACGAGTGAGCCGCCGGCATATGCAAAAGTTCCTCATCCTCCTCCGTCGCCCCTTCTTAGTGGATAGATAACTCCTCCGCGTGGGGATGGCCGGGCGTTGCTTATGTAGTGCGAGTACGTAGCGCCATAGCGCCGCGCACAACGCCATTCAACTACCCAACAGTTGCACCAATGGATGGGTGGTTTTCGTATGTGGCTTTTGCCTCAACGCCCAGCCCATTCGTCTTCAAAGTTCCCACCAACAACACGGATGGAGGGCGTTTCCATTTCACAAGTCGAACAGTAATACATGTGTGTATATATATATGTGTGTGTGCGTGTTTGAGATGCCCTTTAACAGTAACAAACATATTTGATTGACGGTGCAACAGCTGCACATAGTAATTGCGCTTCCTCTTCACATCGGGGCTCTCCCTTAGACTTCGTTTGGTTTTATGCCCAGACGTGAACATATGATATGTTCATGGCTTGAGGGCGGCTCTTGTTCAAAGAGGGGCTATCGTTGAGCACGTCCTGAACTGTGTGATCCTACCTTGCGTCCGAACTGACAGCAGGAAGCACGGATGGCAGCTCATTTTCAATATGGGGCTCTGCAGGATGACGAGGCGCCCGTCTTTCAGGGGGGCACTTCTTGGAGGGTGAAAGAGGGGGTCTGCAACAGGGGGTCTTCAATGGGGGCTGAATGGCCCATGCATGCTCAATGTATCGTTCATGTATGTGAACGGGTACGATTGGCATCCAATGTTGGCGGTCATTGAGGGCCAGTCGTTCGTGCCCGCGCGTTGCCCGCGCGGGCACGCGCGCCGTCCATCCATTATCGTTCATGCGTGCGGGGGTTCTTGCATACTGCGCGTGGGGCAGCGAAGTGGAGTGCAAGTGTGTCTTCATTGTGCGATTGATGATCGGGCATGTTCCCAAACGATGACTTCTCGACCCCCAAGACAGATTTGGAATGGGGTCCACTTTTCTCCCTAAATGTGAATTCACATTTTCCTTTTTCCCAAAATGTGAATTCACATTTTCCTTTTTCCCAAAATGTGAATTCACATTCTGGCCCCTTTCATCAAGAATCCTACACAAAATTCCAAAATGTGAATTCACATTTTCCTTTTTTCCAAAATGTGAATTCACGTTTTCCTTTTTCCCAAAATGTGAATTCACATGTTGCTTTTCCCCACAATGTGAATTCACATTTTGCCCTGGCCTTCAAGATCCCCAACGCTGAGGCGTTTTGTTCCGCATGTCAGATTGGCTGGGCAGATTTCGACACTCACCTGACCGCTTTCGTGTGTTCCAGCCTTTTCTTTTTGCGCCCTCAGCGCACGTTGCCTTCGTCGTCTTTCCCGAGCCCCCCGCCCCCTTGCTTCCTTTCCTTTCAAGTCTCGCGCATGGGTACAAGCGATGGGGTTTCCATTAGTTCCCCCGCCGACCACAGCAATTGAGGATGCATCGCCCATTCATGGCCCATAAAGACATCATTGCCGGGACCCTGCGGCCGACCCCCACTTTCACCCTCCAAACTTCTGAGTGTGAAAATGAACTCGTATGAACGCTTTTGAGGGGGGGACTCTGGACGGGCGGCCGTATTGCAGCGTCGACTTTGCATATCAGGTTTGCTCAGGCTTTCCTCCTCATCCTCCTCCTCCAGCTCTCCCCTCTTGTCACCCTCCTCCTCCTCCTCCTCGGAGCGGGAGGCAGGAGCGCGGAACTCTAAACATGCGCAAGAGTGGGTTTCCTCCGTCCTGCCGCTCGAGGCCGGCCTCGAGAGCCCCAGCGACGCTCGAGCGCAGGGGCCCCGGACGCCTCGGACCCGCGAGAGACGCCTCGGGACGAGCAGCCAGCACGGGGCGCCCCGCGACAGCCAGAGGAAGGGGCGAGCGAATCAAGCGGCACGCCGCGGGCTCCCCCCCTGGCGGCACGCCTCCGAGCGCCGACGAGTGTCGAGGAGAGGCCACCCGCGGCGGAGCCGAGGCCACCTGCGTGCGTAAGAGCGTGCGCGGCCCTCCTCGTGCGGCCCCGGGCGGGGGCAGAAAGGCGGGGAAGCGGGCGGGCGGAGAGGGCCGATCGCAGAGGACACGCGAGGAGCCCTGGCCGAGGAGCCCTGGCCGCGTGCAGGGGCACACGCGGAGTGCACGCCGGGGCTGAACCCAAAGGGCGTTGCTCGTTTTCGTTTTGTTTTCGCTTTCCCTCGTTTCGCCTCCAGTCCGCCTTCACCGCAAAACGAAGTCGGAACGAAAACGGCCCACGAAATCGCCAAAGCACCGTTCAGGTCCTCCCCTGGTGCACGCGGCCGAATTTGGCATGGCAGGCGGTGGGAGGGAGGGGGGCGCGCAGGAAGAGTCAGGTCGGGCATGTCCTCCTGCGAAGGGGATCTTGGAACAGAAATGGAGCAATAGTCACTCCATACTCCAAACTAGTCCATAAAAAATAATCGCAAAACGCCGTCCCCTGATCGTTTGTTTAAACGATTTTTGAACATTCCTCCTGCAGAGGGACAAGCCCAACTCAAAGGAAGGGGGGGGCACGCTCGGGGCGTGGAGTCCTGGTATACGCACCGCAAGCGCCTCAGAGGGTGTGCACAGCATGTGTGCGTGCGTGTGCGTGTGTGTGTGTGCGTGTGTGCGTGTGCGTGTGTGCGTGTGCGTGTGTGTCCTCAGAGTTATGTTGTTCCCATCCTACTTGAGGACCACATCCCGTAAATAATTTCGAGCATCCAGAGAAGTGTCAAAAGAGTGTCGAAACAGGGTCGAAACAGCGTCGGGCTCTCCCAGGGCCCGACACGTGAAAACCCTCGGGTTTCAGCACTTTTTGGGGCGCTCGAAACTCTTCCTGGTGATCAAGGCTAAAGTAGGTTGGAACATCATAACTTTAGAGTGCCCTACGAGTGCCTTAGAGGGCGTGCGCAGCGTGCCTGAGAGGCCCCACAGTGCCTTTTGCGTGTATGTGTGTGTATGTGTGTGTGTGTGTCGGGACCTCAGGAGCGCACGTCCAGCAGCATATGAGCAACTGACCGTGGTTTGTGCCATCGGGCCCACGTGGGCCGCTTTGGAGCCCCTGGGCAGGACCAGAAAGCACCAGAGCAATAATATTCTAGAATATTATGAAACCCCCAGCACGCTCTGCCCTCGCAGAAGCGCCCAGGGGCCTACCCAGGGGGCATCCCTAGGGGGGCCCGTGGGGAATGCGATTCGCCCCACGCGGCCCGATGGCATCGCACGGATAACCAACGCAAAACGCGGCGACGAGGAGCGCCCAGCTGCCGCCGCCGCCGCGTGCTCCCCCTTAGGAGCTCTCCCCGCAGGGGCGCCTCACGCCGACTCGCCCCGCGGGGCTAACGCCGACTCGGCGGGCCGCTGCAGCCCCAGCGCCTGGAGCACGACGCGCCGAAGGCCATCGTCGCCCAGGAGGGCCCAGCGCCGCTCGTCAGCAGCCAGGTTCGAAGACCGATCACGGAGCATGAACAGCATGCTCTCGCGTGACTCGAGGATCACCGCCAGCTGCTCGGCCAGCGCTGAAACCGCCGTTGGGGCTGGGCTCAGCGGCTGCGGAGGCGGCCTGGCGAGCCGAGCGGGGGGCGCGTCGGCCCACTCATCGTTCAGGTCGCTCATCGCGTCGTCGCCGTCCGCGGCGGCGGCTGCCGCAGGTGCAAGCACGAGCTCGAGGCCCATGCGCGCCGCTCCAGCTGCTTCGCCGCCGCCAACCACGACCGCCTCCGCCGCGGAAGCATCGGCGTGGGCGCCAAGCCCCACGGCAGCCCTAGCGTCGGGCCCTCCCCCGATCGCCACCGCCGCCGTGCCAGCGCCTCCACCACCGCCACCTCCTCGCCCCTCCTCCTCCCCAGCTCCACGGGGAGGCTTCGCGCGGCGCCGCCGCCGCCGAGCCCCGAGGGCGGGCTCAGGCGGGGGGTCCTCCGCGGGCGGCTCGGAGGGAGCCTCGACGTCCATCCCGACGTCCGCCTCGGCCGCACCTCGACCGCGACGCCCGCGCCGCCGCCGCCTCGGAGGGGGCGCGGCACCAGCTCGCGGGGGCGCGGCAGGGCGGCAGCGCAAGGCCGCCACCGCAGCGCGCAGCAGGCCCTCGGCCGCTCGCAGAAGGCGCACCCCCTCGAGGGAGTGGCCAGCAGCAAGCCCCGAGGCGGCGTGGGCTGCGAGGAGGGCGCCGCGCGCCGCCTCCTCCGCGCCCCGACGCCCCGCCTGCGGCGTGAACGCACCGGGCATGGCCGGGTGCGAGCGCGGCCGGCACGAGCCAGCGCGCCCGGCGAACAAGGTTGAGCCGAACGGTTACTGTGTGTGTGTGTGTGTGTGTGTGTGTGTGTGTGTGTGTGTGTGTGTGTGTGTGTGTGGGGGGGTGGTGTGTGGGTGGGTGGGTGGGTGGGTGGGTGGGTGGGTGGGTGTCGGGCTGGCGCAGCCCGACACCTCATCGGATGGGCGCACACCACACGACGCTTCCGCGGGCGCGGCACCCGATCGCGGAAGGAGGGGGCACGCAGCGCGACGGACGGGCCCAGAGGGAACCACCATCATTCGATTTGCCTGTCTTCCACCACCATCACCAGAAGTTGGAGGGGGGAAGGAGGTGGAGGATGAGGAGGAAGAAGAGGACCCCCTCCCCCTCCTACTTCTGGTCATGGCGTTGGACAAAAAAGGCACACCGTCGTTCTGCAGGTCTGGCCCGCTATCAGACCCAGCTGCGCGCCGCAACCATTTATACCAAGACGCCCGTCCGTGAGATGGCGATGCACAATTAACGCTGGTGGTTGTTGGTGGCGATCTTATACTGCCACCATCCCCTGCGGCCCAAGAATATCCCAAAAGGGGTGCCCGTGTGCGGTGTCACATGGTCAAACCTAGCAAAATCAATCAGCATCGAATCGGACATCGGATCGACTCGGAATGTGCGTCGGATCAAGCTGCATCGGCACGGAATCGAAATCGAATCAGACAGCTTTAACCAAAATGCGCAACAACTCCATGCAAACATCGGGCCGCATCGGATCGTCGGAGTAGCAGATTCGAATCGGATCGAGCCCGCCAGAAACGATATCGAATCGGATCGATAGGATCGAAACGGACCCCGTCCTGGCATACAGGATCAATTTCTGCTGGTCCCGGGGCCTAAGACGGGCCCTCCCAGAGGCCGAAGCCGAGGGGACAGCTGTCGAACCAGCGTCTGACTGGAAGCCGCTCAAAATCGGGCCCACCCTGGGCAGTTGGCGACGAGTCGCTCGAGCTGCGTCCAGCCCGCGGCCACGAGAACCCCGACTGGCGCCCCAAAACCTTGGAAGAAACGAAGGGACCTCGATCCTCGATCCCGTTGTGCGTGGTGTTAAGTCGGGCCTGTCCCCCTACAGGGGGATTTTCGACCAAAAACAAAAAATACCCCAAACACAATCAAAAAACAGTCCCGAAATAGCCTGGGGACTATTTTTGGAAAATTTGTTGGCCCTTTTGGAGCATTTTTGGGGTATTCTTCATTTTTCGTCGAAAGTCCCCCTGTAGGGGGACACGCCCGACATGAGCGTGGCGCCGCCTGGCGCAGCAGCGTCGGCGTCCTGGAGCTCCCGATGGACTTCCGCGGCTGCCACGGCAGGCCCCGCGGGGGCTCCGGCGGCAGCGCCGGCGGCGGCTCGGAAGGGCCCGGGTCCTGCCAGCGGCGCCCGCCCCCCCCCTCTCCTTCCTGAGGGAGCGTCTGCAATCGGGCAGGTATCCTTCCACTGCATTTGCTGGCTCCCAATTTCGCGCTTCGCGCTGCGCGAAGCGCGAAGTGCGAATAACTTCGTGCTCGCGCGCCGCCTCCCAGAGGAGAAAAGGAGGAATCGGAGCCGAACCGCGAGGCGCGAAGCGCGAAAAACTTCGCGCCCTCGAGGGTGCCCTTGCCCAGACCTCCTCGACTCGCGTGAAGAACACGTAACACGTTTGTGTGCGTTCCCGGCCCCGAGGGCCCTCACTGGGCCCCTGGACCATTCAACAAAAACTACACGAGACGAAAATTTCGGCGGTGGACAAACCTGCCTTTAGTAAACCTCCCCTTAGTGAAAACGACGTAGGGCCGAAATCGACGGACATGGACCCGCAAAATGACGACCGCGACGCCCTCTCGCGAACCGAAAACGGCCAATTCCTTAATCGACGCGTCAGGGTAGGAGGTCTGTAAATACACCTCCGAAAATTTCCCCCGAGGAAGGGGTGAGACCTGGCCTCCACGTTGTGAACAAAAATCGTCGGGGTTGTGCCTCTCCCTGCCACGCCACGCACACGTGAGCTGGGCAATCAGAGGTGGGGAAGGAGGCGGGAGGCCAGGGAGGAGGAAGAGGCGAGAGGAGGAGGAGGGAGATAAGGCAGGAGACGAGAGGGGGGGGAAGGGGAGGAGGAGGCAGTCAGAGTGAGGGAGAGAGAGGAGGACGAGGACGAGCACGACGACGACGCCGCCAACCTGCGCGAAGAGCTGCCGAGGGCCGCCGAGGGGCCGCCCAAGAGGGCTGCCGATGGGGGATCGTCGAATGGCGGTGGCGCGCGACTGGCGGGTGACCGGCGAGAGCGACGGCAACCACATCATCAACGGCAGCGGTCACGGCTGCGAGGCGGGATTTTATCTACAACCGCCGCCTGGGGGATCGATCTCCAGGGGCCTCCACGGGCGGTGGATGGGGATACGTATTTCTTACAAGCCCGAGCGGGGGGACCCCCCCCCCCAAAACTGGACTCCCGGGATCTGGGGCTTTGGGACCCTCCGGACGGGCCTCGAAGCGACCCCCTGGGCCTCGCAGGGCATTTTGCCAAGCCTTCCCAGCACACCTAGGGCGATCAGGGGGGTCATCGGAGACGTCCCAGAGACCCCCAAGACAGCACAAGAGCGCTCCAAGAGTGACCGACGTGACCTCAAGATGGCCCAAGAGGCCTCCAGGACGGCCCCAAAGAGGCCTCCAAGAGCACTCCCAAGAAGGCCCCAAGAGGCGAAAATCATTGATTTTCTTTGGGTTTTTGGTGAATGTTGTGGTTCTCTTTTCGGCTTCCCGACGCTCCAAGACGGCGGTCGTCTGGGCGTCCAAAGCCGCCTGGGAGGCTCCAAAATCGCCCCACAACCATCCGAAAGGGCTTGGCGGCCCAAGATAGCCCCAAGACACCCTCCAAAATATTGCAAATCGTGATCCGGTCGTTCAGGGAGACCGCGGTTGGAAGCAGGGTGGCCCGAGGAAGCCCCCAGAGGCCCCCAGAATACGCCCAGGAGGCCTCCAGAAGGCCTTAAGAAAGCCTGGAACAACTTTTGCGAGGCACACAGAGGCTCTCCATGGGGGAGCCTCCGCAAGAAAGAGCTGAGGAGGATGGGGAGAATGCGCAGGGTATGGCGAAAATGAGGGAAAAGAAGCATGGAGGAAGGATAACGAATTACATTATTATAGCGGCGATGCCGGAACAGGCAACAAGGAGTTATCGCTAAATTGTCGGCTTGACCTTCCTGCTATTCCGCCTGCATACCAAAACTTCAAGGACCAAGATGCATGGCGCGAAGCGCCACTGCAGTCATGCATGTGTATGCGTATATGTATATATCTCTATATCTATATATATACAGATATGCATGCATGTGTGTATGTATGTCTGTCTGTCTGTCTGTCTATATGTCTGTCTGTCTATCTGTCTGTCTGTCTGTCTGTCTGTATGTATGTATGTATGTATGTGTGTGTGTCTTCGTATGCGTGTATGTATGTGTTTGTTTATGTATGTATGTATATATGCATGCATGAATTTATGTATGTATGCGTGCACACATGAATATGTACATACGTACATAATATATATATATATATATACAAACATACATGCATATCGATATGCATAAACTCATGCATATATGCATACATGCATACATACATACATGCATGCATACATGCATACATACACACACATACACATACCTATATACGTATGCATACACACATGTGTATCCATATATACATATATATATGTATATCCCAATCAGTGCTTGCAGTGAAAAAGTCCTCGCGGACGTTGAAAGACTTGGCTACAATTTCCCGCCGACTTTGGTCGCACGCTGGGTTCCCGGGTTCCCGGTTCCGGGTTCCCGGGTTCCGGGGTTCTTGGTTCCAGGTCAATTTCGGAGGGAGGCGAGGTTCCTGGGTTCCCGGGTTGCTGGTCGATTTTCTTATCGATCGGTCTCACCATCGATCCCATGACCCACTTCTCTATCGATCTCACCATTGATCTCACAATCGATCTCACTATCGATCTCACAAGCGATCTCACTAGAGATCGTATGAGCGATCTCGCCATCGATCTCACTGAATCGATTTCACTATCGGTCTCACGATCGACCTTACAATCGTCCTCACTATCGATCTCATTATCGATCTCACAATCGATCTCAAGATCCATAGTATTTTCCCAATCAGTGCTTGCGCTGAAGGGGTTCTCGCGGATGTGAAAGGATCTGGCGAAATTTCCCGCCGATTTTGGTCGCACGCTGGGTTCCCGGGTTCCCGGGTTCCTGGTTCCGGGCCCATTCTGGAGGAGGGCGGCGAGGTTCCCGGGTTCCCGGCTTCCTGGTCGATTTTCTGATCGATCGGTCTCACCGAATCGATCCCATGACCCACTTCTTCTCTATCGATCTCACCATTGATCTCACAATCGATCTCACTATCGATCTCACAAGCGATCTCACTAGAGATCGTATGAGCGATCTCGCCATCGATCTCACTATCGATCTCATTGAATCGATTTCACTATCGGTCTCCCGATCGACCTTACAATCGTCCTCACTATCGATCTCATGATCGATCTCACAATCGATCTCAAGATCCATAGTATTTTCCCAATCAGTGCTTGCGCTGAAGGGGTTCTCGCGGATGCGAAAGGATCTGGCGAAATTTCCCGCCGATTTTGGTCACACGCTGGGTTCCCGGGTTCCCGGATTCCTGAGTCCTGGTTCCGGGCCCATTCTGGAGGGCGGCGAGGTTCCTGGGTTCCCGGTTTCCTGGTCGATTTTCTCATCGATCGTTCTCACCATCGATCCCATGACCCACTTCTTCTCTATCGATCTCACCATTGATCTCACAATCGATCTCACTATCGATCTCACAAGCGATCTCACTAGAGATCGCATGAGCGATCTCGCGATCGATCTCACTATCGATCTCATTGAATCGATTTCACTATCGGTCTCACGATCGACCTTACAATCATCCTCACTATCGATTACACTATCGATCTCATTATCGATCTCATCATCGATCTCAAGATCCATAATGTTAATTTCCAAATCATCCACCGATTGGGTTTTCTCATGTGTAATATATATATATATATAGCCCTCTGAACCCACCAAGAACCCCCCTTTCTCATGATTATATATGAATATTTATATCTGATTCCTACGATTTTCGGACTCAATTTTGACGCTCGTTTTTGGAAGACTTTCTCCAGTACTCAACAGCCTCCTTCTCCAACACAACACCCGATACTCAACAGGCTCCCTCCCCAAGCTGAACTTGAAAATAACCGTCTACTCAACTCCCTCCGTCTCCAACACAACACCCAGTACTCAACAGCCTCCTTCTCCAACACAACACCCGATACTCAACAGGCTACCTCGCCAAGCTGTACTTCAAAATAACCTCCTACTCAACTCCCTCCGTCTCCACCACACCACCCAGTACTCAACAGCCTCCTTCTCCAACACAACACCCGATACTCAACAGGCTCACTCCCCAAGCTGAACTTGAAAATCACTTTCTACTCTACTCCCTGCGTCTCCAACACAACACCCAGTACTCAACAGCCTCCTTCTCCAACACAACACCCGATACTCAACAAGCTCCCTCCCCAAGCTGAACTTGAAAATAACCTTCTACTCAACTCCCTGCGTCTCCAACACAACACCCAGTACTCAACAGCCTCCTTCTCCAACACAACACAACAGGCTCCCTCCCCAAGCTTTCTAGGTACTCAACAGCCTCCCTCCAACACAACACCCGATACTCAACAGGCTCCCTCCCCAAGCTGAACTTGAAAAGAACCTTCTACTCAACTCCCTCCGTCTCCAACACAACACCCAGTACTCAACAGCCTCCTTCTCCAACACAACACCCGATACTCAACAGGCTCCCTCCCCAAGCTGAACTTGAAAATAACCTTCTACTCAACTCCCTGCGTCTCCAACACAACACCCAGTACTCAACAGCCTCCTTCTCCAACACAACACCCGATACTCAGGCTCCCTCCCCAAGCTGAACTTGAAAATACCTTCTACTCAACTCCCTCCGTCTCCAACACAACACCCAGTACTCAACAGCCTCCTTCTCCAACACACACCCGATACTCAACAGGCTCACTCCGTCTCCAACGCACACACAAGTACTCCTCATGATTATATATGAATTTATATATGATTCCTACGATTTTCGGACTCGATTTTGACGCTCTTTTTTGGAAGACTTTCTCCAGTACTCAACAGCCTCCTTCTCCAACACAACACCCGATACTCAACAGGCTATCCCCAAGCTGAACTTGAAAATAACCTTCTACTCAACTCCCTCCGTCTCCAACACAACACCCAATACTCAACAGCCTCCTTCTCCAACACAACACCCGATACTCAACAGGCTCCCTCCCCAAGCTGAACTTGAAAATAACCTTCTACTCAACTCCCTCCGTCTCCAACACAACACCCAGTACTCAACAGCCTCCTTCTCCAACACAACACCCGATACTCAACAGGCTCCCTCCCCAAGCTGAACTTGAAAATAACCTTCTACTCAACTCCCTCCGTCTCCAACACAACACCCAGTACTCAACAGCCTCCTTCTCCAACACAACACCCGATACTCAACAGGCTCCCTCCCCAACGCATTATGATTATATATGAATTTATATATGATTCCTACGATTTTCGGACTCATTTTGACGCTCTTTTTTGGAAGACTTTCTCCAGTACTCAACAGCCTCCTTCTCCAACACAACACCCGATACTCAACAGGCTCCGTCCCCAGCTGAACTTGAAAATAACCTTCTACTCAACTCCCTCGTCTCGTACTCAACTCCTTCTCCAACACAACACCCGATACTCAACAGGCTCCCTCCCCAAGCTGAACTTGAAAATAACCTTCTACTCAACTCCCTCCGTCTCCAACACAACACCCAGTACTCAACAGCCTCCTTCTCCAACACAACACCCGATACTCAACAGGCTCCCTCCCCAAGCTGAACTTGAAAATAACCTTCTACTCAACTCCCTGCGTCTCCAACACAACACCCAGTACTCAACAGCCTCCTTCTCCAACACAACACCCGATACTCAACAGGCTCCCTCCCCAAGCTGAACTTGAAAATAACCTTCTACTCAACTCCCTCCGTCTCCAACAACACCCAATACTCAACAGCCTCCTTCTCCAACACAACACCCGATACTCAACAGGCTCCCTCCGTCTCCAACACACACAAGTACTCCAGATCCACCCACCACAACACGACGCGACACCCGAAACTCCAACCGCACCCGCCCTCCTTTTTTCTTGGCATCTTCCAAGAGAAAAGCGGGGTTCATGGTGGGTGCTGAGGCCTATATATATATATATTCCGTCCCATATATCTTTATAGGGCCAGGGACGCCGGAAAAAAACGCCCCCCCCCTAACGAACGTGGCCCTCCCTGGGCCTCCGGGCAAACCTTCAGACGACCCGGGAGAACCTCACGAGAGCCTAAAACCGGCCCCAGAGGGGTTCCAGGCGTTCCGGCGCGCTCCCGAAACCCCAGAGAGCCCCAATACGGTCCACGACGACCCCCAAGAAGCCGTCATACCACCAAAGATCGCTCCAAAACGTCCCAAGAGGCCTCCAAGAGCACTCCCAAGAAGGCCCCGAGAGGCAAAAATCATTGATATTCTTTTGGTTTTTGGTGAATTTCGGAGTTCTCCTCTTTTCGGCTTCCCGACACTCCAAGACGGCGGTCTTCTGGGCGTCCGAAGCCGCCTGGGAGGCTCCAAAATCGCCCCACAACCATCCGGAAAGGATTCCAGGCAGTCCAGGAGAGCCCCAAAACGGCACAAGAGGGATCCAAGATGGCCCTAAGAGAGCCCCATAGCGGCCCAAGATGGCCCCAAGACACCCTCCGAAGCATTCCAAATCGTGACCCGGTCGTTCAGGGAGACCGCGGTTGAAGGCAGGGTGGCCCGAGGAAGCCCCCGGAGGCCCCCAGAACACGCCCAGAAGGCCTCCAGAAGACCTTAAGACAGCCTCGAAAACTTTTGCGAGGCCCACAGAGGCTCTCCAAAGAGGAGCCTCCGCGAAAAGAGCTGGGGAGGATAGGGGATAATGCGCAGGGTATGGCGAGAATGGAAAACAAGAAGCGTGGAGGAAGGAGAACGAAACACATTATTAGAACGGCGATGCCAGAAAAGGCAACAAGGAGTTATAGTATAGCTAAATTGTCGGCTTGACCTTCCTGCTATTCCGCCTGCATACCAAACTTCAAGGACCAAGGTGCATGGCGCGAAGCGCCACTGCAGTCTTGTGTCTATAAATGTGTGTATATATATATATCAGGGTATGCCCAAGGCCATGCCTACCGGGAGGAGAAGGAGGAGGAGGAGGACCAGTGTAAACCCAAGATGAATCGACGACGCTGCAATAAACCCTCCTTCCAAGCACCCTCTTCACAGGCCCCCATACAAGAATTCATTGTCACTGAAGTAAGGGACCCGATGGAAAACAACTGTTTGAAAACCCTGGACTTTGCCAACACACCATTACTAGGATGTCAACGCCGCGAATCACCGCTACTGTTGCGTCTTGAAGATTCTGAATTGTGCCAGAACCCCATTTCTGGGACTCCAACACCACGAATCAACGTAACCGTTGCGCCCTGACAATCCGACATCCTGCCACTCAACCACTTCTCGGACGTTAACCATGATAACCCTTGAAACTGCTGTGAACTCTCAAGACGAAACTGCGCGGCGCTGGGGCGATAAGCACAGATTGAAAAAGAACTGCCCTCCATCCGTGAAACTCTTGCAATCGCGGCGCTGAGGCGAGAACCACATGTTTACAAGGAACCGCCCTCCATCCGTAAAACTCGTGCGTGTTAATAACAACTGTGCGCGGCGCTATGGCGAGGGCCATGTTTTGAGAACGGCCCGCCATCCATCCGTGAAGCTCATGCAAATTTGTAAGACAAATGTGCGTGGCGCGAAAAACAGAACTACAAACTGAAAACCACCTGTCCTCAATCCGTGAAGCTCTTGCAACTTGTTGAAAAGATTTGCGCGGCGCTAACAAACTACGTTTTGAAAACGACCCGCCCTCAATCCGTAAAACTGTTGCAAATGTTGATCTTCAGGATCATCATCGGTGAGGAAACCTGAGGCGAAAAGCCTGGTCCGCCCTTCCGACTTTGCGCTGGGGTGCGCCAGGGAGGAGTTATTCACAAGGAGAAATAATGGAGGAGGAGGAGGAGGAGGAGGAGGAGGAGGAGGAGGAGGAGGAGGAGGAGGAGGAGGAGGAGGAGGGGGAGAGAGGTGGAGGAGGAGAAAGAGGCGGAGGAAGAGGAGGGGGAGGGGGTGGGAGGAGGAGGAGGAGGAGGAGGAAGACTAGGAGGACGAGGCGCCTGACCTGGTGCTCGGAAAAAGAACACCCCCCAGGCGGTGGTCGTGGACCGGTCCCCGCCTCTGCGGGAGAGCGCCGCGTCCTGGGCCGAGAGCCGCTCGCGGTCCCAGGCCAGCGCCTCCCGCGAGCAGGCCCGGGCCTTGGACCGGTCCTCCTGGGAGCGCACGGGGGGGGGGCGGAGGGGGGCAGGAGGGAAGGAGGCAAGCTAGGTGCGCTCGTTTCGTGTGCACCGCTTCAGGGGAGCGTCTGGAGGTCTGGAGCCAGAGGTGCATCAAGGAGAAGCCAGCCAGTGCGATTGGGCGACACATGCGTGTGAAAAGGTGCCACCTCTGGCCACGACGGCTCGGCATGACCTGTCAGAGAGGCGCCTGCTCGCTCAGGTGCGCTCGCGTCAAATCCCCTCCCTCCCATTCCTTACCATGGCGCAGATCTCCTCGCTATTCGCACAGTCGGACTCTGAGCATGGCAAGGGTCCCGAGAGGGTGCGCGATGCATCGCAGAGCACGGCACGGCAGGACGTAGGGGAGCACGGCAGAGCGTGGCATGTCCTCCTGGGAGCGCACGGGGTGGGGGGCGAGGGGGCGACGGAGGGGAGGAGGGGACCCTCGAATCCTGGCGCTGCGCCTCTTTCACAGAAGGGGCGACGTCGCCCAGATTCGGGCCCCGGGACCCTCGCAGATCGATCGAGCTCGAAAAATGGCACCGAAAAGCGGGGTCTAGGGCCCTGGGCGCGATTCCTCGCGATCTTGCAGTTTTATCGCCACCGCGGATCTCAGGGGAGGAGGGGGGATTCGGCGTGATTCGGCGATCGAGATCGGTAAAGAGAGCCCCAAGGAAGAGCCCGAAGGCTCCCAAGAGCAACCGAGGAGGGCTCCACGCTGCGATTTTGGGGCATCGGTCCTCTTTGGCTGTTGACCTCAAAGATGGCCCCCAAACGTGCCTCGGGGACCCCCAAGAGGGCCCAAAGAGGACCTGGCCTCCAAGCCTCCCAAAACCAACACCAATAGAATCCTAAGATTACCCCAACAAACCTCCGTTACTGGTCGTCGTGCTCCACCGTGTTTTTGTTACTCTCCTCCTGCCGACGGCTCGCCTGGGCATCGCTTCTGAGTGGGCTGGTGGAGACACGCCGAACTATGAGAAGCTAGATGATGATGAAGGGGAATGAGGAGTGAGGGCGATGATGCGGAGGAGCAGGAGGATGGGAAGTGGGAGGAGGACGAACAGAGAAGGATAACAAAGAAAAGAAGGAAGGAGGAAGAGGAGGGGGGGAGGACCAACGCAAACCCGAGAGCCATCAAGAATGTTGCAATCAACCCTCCCTCCAAATTCCCGCTACATAAGACCCTACAATAATTTACATGTACTGCTGAAAGTGCCCCATTGGAGGACAACCGTCTAAAAACCCTGAACCGTACCATAACACCGTTCCTGGGACTTGAACGCCGCGAATGAACATTATTGATGCGTCCTGACGGTCGTGAATCGCGCCAGAACGCCGTTCCAGAATTTCAACACCGCAAACCAAACTCACTGTTGCGCTCTGAGAGTCCTACGTCGTGCCATAGCACAACTTCTGTGACACCATCCATAAGAATCCCACAAGCTGAAACATCTCAAGACGAATGCGCGCGGCGCTAAGGCGAGAACTCCAATTTGAAAACACTCCTTCCATCCGTGAAACCCCTGAAAACTGTTAAAACGAATATGCGCGGCACTCAAGCGAGAGACACACAATGAAAAAGAACCCGCCATCCGTAAAATTCTTGCAATTGTCAAAACGACTGTGCGCGGCGCTAAAGCGAGAGACGCTTTGTGAAAAGGAACCGCCCTCGATCCGTGGAACCCCTGCAAATGCTTAAGACGAACGCGCGCGGCGCTAAAGCGAAAACCTCGATTTGAAAACGGTCCGCCCTCCACCCGTGAAACCATGCGTTCTCAATTACGAATGTGCGAGGCGCTATGGCGAGAACCGCATTTTGAAAACGACCCGCCCTCCATCAATGAAGCTCTTGCAAATTTGTGAAACGGAAATGCGCCAGGCTAAAGCGAGAGCAACAAGACCCGCCCTCCGTAAGTGAAACTCTTGCAAGCTTTGAAGACGAATGTGCGCGGCGCCAAAGCGAGAGCCACAGTTTGAACACCGCCCGCCCTCCATTTGTGAATATGTAGCTTGTAAGCAGAAGGGTCATACGTGGTGAAGAAACTTCAGGCGCAACGCCGAGTTCACCCTACCCACACGTCTCTTGGGACGACAGGGAACAGTTATTCATAAGGAAAAGGGATGGAGGAGGAGGAGGAGGAGGAGGAGGAGGGGGAGGAGGAGGAGACGGACGGCGCGGAGAGGGCGGGTGGTCTCAGTAAATCGCACCGATTCTCACACCTCCAGCTGGGGCGGGCTGGGCCACCAGGAGCCAATCAACGTCGCCCCCGGTCCCGAGCATCCGGCGTCTCGATTTTTTCGAGACCCGGCCCTCAGCCCTGGAGCTGGTTATTCGTTTTTTTCCCTACCTAGGCTCTGCCTAGAAGGGTTCTTACTCTGTTGGCCTAAAGGGGCCGGGCAATGTAAATCGCCCCGGGCGGTTCCCCCGGTCCCCTGGGAGCGGTTCCCCCAGTCCCCTGGGAGCTTTAGCTTTAGCTTAGCTTTAGCTTAGCTTAACCTTAGCTTTACCTTAGTTTTAGCTTAGCTTTAGCTTAATTTTGGCTTAGATTTAGCTTAGCTTTAGCTTAGCTTTAGCTTAGCTTCAGCTTAGCTTCAGCTTATCTTCAGCTTAGCTTCAGCTGAGCGTTAGCTTAGCTTTAGCTTAGATTTAGCTTAGCTTTAGCTTAGCTTCAGCTGAGCTTTAGCTTAGCTTTAGCTTAGCTTTACTGTTACTACTACTGCTGCTTTCCTAGGGGCACCAACTCCTAGGTAGGGTCGCACCGGGATAATTTTCAATGAAAAACAACCAAGCGCGGACCCCACCTCACACGCCCGGCAAACCCGGGGCCCCAGCCAGAATGCACCAGTGCAATCGCGAGGACTTTCAAATATTTGCACGCGCTGCACAAGAGGGCCGAACGCCACCGCGCACGTCCCGCGCGACAGGAGAGGGGGCGAGGAGGAGGAGGAGAATGAGGAGGAAGGACAAGGAAAAGGAAGAAGACGACCATCAAACAGGGGGCGGCGCTAGAACGTACAGGCGAGAATGGCAATGGCCGCAAGGCTGCTCTGTCACTCCGAATCGCGATTCAAAACTTGCAAAAACCTACGAAACAAAATCGTGGCGTTTGGGGGCCCGGCAAAGAAACGGCATGATTGGCCCTCCAGGCCGCTCAAGCGGGGTTCCGCCAGGGGGTTCTTCGCGAGTCTGGATCCTTGGCGCAAGCGTCGTCCCATTTCGATCGTGCCGCTTCTCCTCCCCCCCCAGTTGAGGTTAGCGACGGGAGATCCTGGCGAGGTGGGTGGGCGGCCTTTCGCTCCTTTGGAGGATGTTTGTGCTGTACGCCCGCAAGCTCGCGGTCCTGTCGAGTCCCTCCTTCTCCCTGCCCTGGCCGTCCTTCTCAGCGACGCTCGTGGGCGCAAAAGCATATCCGTATCGGCGACCTCGAAGGCCAGTCCCTGGGCCGCGACCCCGCGGATACGGGGCGTTTTGCTCGCGGATGCCCCGCGCGGAACGCATCCGCGTGACCGCGTATCTGCGGCATCGCGCCCTGGAATCCAGACCGCGAGGGCGTGGATATGATGAGGGGGCCCCGCAAGACCTGATCTCCCCCGTGCAACAGCGACGGGCCCGAGGTGGACACGTGCGCCAAAACGATGGGTCGCCACACGGAACACACCAAGAGATGTGCCACAGGATCTTTTGTTCAAGGGAGGAGACGAGCGCGGACCACTTGACGGAGCCTCCAGATATCACAGCCAACCTTGCGATAGGTACACGAGCCACACACGTGGGCATCCGTGCTATGCATGACGTCAGGGATCAAAAGCACGGCCCCGAAAACGAGCAGTGGCCGCGGACCCAGGCAGGAAAACATACTGCAGGGACGAGGCGGCACCGCACGTGGGAAGTGATCCTCCTCCTCCCCCTCCTCCTCCTCCTCCTCCTCCTCCTCCTCTCCTCCTCCTCCCCCCTCCTCCTCCTCCTCCTCCTCCTCCTCCTCCTCCTCCTCCTCCTCTCCTCCTCCTCCTCCTCCTCCTCCTCCTCCTCCTCCTCCTCCTCCTCCTCCTCCTCCCTCCTCCTCCCTCCTCCTCCTCCTCCTCCTCCTCTCCTCCTCCTCCTCCTCCTCCTCCTCCTCTCCTCTCCTCCTCCTCCTCCTCCCTCCTCCTCCTCCTCCTCCTCCCCCTCCTCCTCTTCTCACCTCCTCCCTCCTCCTCCTCCCCCCCTCCTCCCCTCCTCCTCCTCCTCCTCCTCCTCCTCCTCCTCCTCCTCCTCCTCCTCCTCCTCCTCCTCCTCCTCCTCCCCCCCCTCCTCCTCTTCTTTCACCTCCTCCTCCTCCTCCTCCTCCTCCGTCCCGCGGGGGGTGCGGGGTCCTCGGACAGCTCCGACCCGAGCGCGAACAGGAGCGCCCCGCGCAGCGGGATCTCGCCCGCGGCGTCCCAGCGGCGGATGTCCGCCAGGATGCCCGGGTCGGACGACAGGGGAGGGGACCAGCGACGGGTGGTGGGGGGGGCATTGTCGGGGCGATCGGGATGGGCGCGGGAAGAAGGGGGACGAAGACTGCCAGCAGCCCCTGCCCATTTTGAACCAAGCCCGCCGTGGGTGCCGCCGCGGGCGTCGCACCTCTGAGACGGAGGGCTGCGCCTGCACAGCAGCGACCGCTCCTGGCTCTGGACAGCCTGTGCTGTTGGGCATCATGCCCCTTCTTTCCGTGCCAATTCCGCGAGTCCAAGAAGCAGCTGGCGTGGCTGTTTCCCTGGCGCCTACCGGCGGCAAAGGCGCGGGTGTATCGAGGAAAGCACCAGACTGAGGTCGGGTATGTCCTCCTACAGGAGAGTTTTGGAAGACAAGTAAAAATAGTCAAGACGTGTTCAAACATAGCCTACCACGACCAGAAATGTTCTAATAACAAAAACGATGATCTTAGAACATAGAAATCAAGACAGCCCCAGCCAGAAATATTATAATAACATTTCGTGGGAACCACAAAAGGTTCTTAGAAGATTGTTTGATAGGACTATATGCACGGCAGGACGCTTCGCCACTGCTTGAGAAAAATCGTCTCCGAATTATTTTTGACAATTTTTGAATCTTCCTCCTGTAGAGGGACAGGCCCGACTTAACACCAGGCGGCTGGGTTGAAATCGCCTGCATGCAGCCGTGCTCGTGCCCCCCCTCCCCCTGTACCCCCCTTTCGTCCGGCCCGAGATGCGGGCGTCAACGGCGGAGGCGCCGTAGAAGGCGCCAGCCTAGGGCCGATGCAAACAACAGAAAAACGAGGCGGCCGGGGCTCTTCCCCATGCCATGACATGAGATGATTTGCTATTTCGCACTCGCTTCCGGACCTCACTCCTCCACTCCATCCTCCCTCACTCAGACCCACTCACACAGTCATACTCATACTCACTCGCACGCAAACTCACTCATACCCAGGCACATCCAGTCATCACTACACTCAGACTCACGCACCCTCAGACTTACTCACCCTCAAACTCATTATCACTCCGACTTACTCGTACTCACGTTCACCCACATCCCTCCTCTTTGTCACTCAGGCTGACTCATCACACTCAAAGTCACTCACACGGACACTCAGCCTCGCTCCTCTCCCTCACCCACTCACTTATACTCACTACTCATTAACCATTTACACACGCAGTCTGTGAGGATGTCTCAAGCGAGGTGCTGGTTTCAGCACTCCCAACGGGCAGCCGCCAGGGGTATTTCATGGGCCCGTTCGCGCCCGAGATCGTGTGGGGATGTCTAAGGCGGTTCGCCCGTTTCGCCCCCCAAACTTCTTTCTTTTGGTGGTCCACCGCCCACCACGATAACGCAAACGTGATACTAGGGCACCCCAACGGAGAGCCGCCAGAAAATCCCACCAGCCCTCTTGGCGTTAGCAATTTAGGGAGTTGCCTTTCCTCTTCCAACCCCCCTCTTCCCCTGCGGGGAAGGGTTTGTCAATGTTCCCTAGCAATAAACACCCCCTCCCCCAGGCAACCGACAGCCAACCAGCACCAATGACAGCCCCCCCCCGCCATCGTTTCCAAAAACAAACCAAACTGCACTTTTGGTCAAAGAATTGGGTCATAATCGTGACGTGGGCCCCGCGAACACTTTCTATTTCTTTTTGATAGGGACGGCGGGGGGGGCTCATATTGCCTGACGTGCGCCACCACCCCGGTCATTAAACAGTGCAACATGAAATTCGCGGCGAAATCTGGCAATAGCACTGTCAAGTTGTTATGTGAAGGACGGCGGGGGTGCTGGTATATTGGCACAGCAGACACCATGATGGCCTTCCCGCCGCGATTGTGCATTGGCTTTCGGCAAGCATGGTGGGTGCCTGCATGTTGTCCGATGTGTGCTGTCACGTGCGCGGGCGCACGTGGCACACTCTGCGCGTGCCCCGAACGTGGCGCACCTGGCGCGGCTAGACCATGCGGCAAGCATGGCACACGTGGAGCACGTGGCGCATCTGGCGCACCAGGCGTGCCTGGCACGCTTGGGCGCCATGGGTGCCTGGCGCACCTGGCGCGCGTGGCGCGACTGGCACGCGTGGCACGCGTGGCGCAACTCGCCCCAGCGTCGCGCACATGGGTCTGTGCTGGTTTCCAGTAGCTGTCCATCCATAGACGACCGCTGAACATGCTGAGGCTCGGGTGCTACTTATGTGTTGGGAGGGTGGGTGGAAGTACACGAGACAGCCTGCGGTCGGGGAGGCTGTTGTCCGCAGAGGCCCCCAAAAGGTCTCGAAGAGGCTCCCAAGAGACCCTCAAGAGGCCCCAAAAGGCTTCCCCGATGAACCCAAGACGCTCCAAGAGGTTACTGGGACCGCCAACATGCCCCCATGACGCCCCAAGAGGACTCCAAGATGCTCTCCAGAGACATCCAACAGCCCTCTGGGCCCGAGTGGTCTGGCGAGTCGCCTCTTCCATCTTCCGGCTTCCCCGTCGGGGAGGAGTTTACCCCACCTCCTACCGCCTGCCCTGGAGCTGGACCGTGGGCTTTGCGACCGATTGGAGCGTCCAATATGGCCCAGGGCTGCTCCACGAGGGCCCCAGAGAACCCAAGATGGCTTCCAAAATGGCTCGAGACAACTCAAAGTGGCAACACGCTCCGAGAGGCCTCAAGACCGCCCCAAAACGGCTTCAAGTGGCCACGGCGCATCCCCACGAGAGCCACGACGAGGCGAACATCCTTACAAAACTTGGGATCATCAACGCTGTTCGCTGTTTCGCTGTTTCGCTTCCAATGGCCGTCCGAGGCCTCAAGATGGCTCCAAGAAGGTCCACGAGCGCTCCAAAAGCCGCCTAAGAGGCCCCGAAGACGGCCCCCAAAGCGCCCAAGAGCGCCCCAAGAGCGTTCCAAGAGGAGTTCGACAAAAGAGGCGACTCGACCGTCCGAGATGGCCCTCGATGGCTCCAAGAGAGCCTCAGAGAGCCCAGTATGATTTCGGCGAGGGCTCAAACATTGCTTCCCACATGCTCCGAACGGCTCGGAGGCCGCCCAAAGACGTGTCCAAGTGGCCACGGAGCTCCCCGACAGGTCCTATACGAGGCAGGCCATATACAGGACAGGTCATGATTCAATCTTGTCAGATACCATCATTGCCACATACAAAACAAGTCATATACAAGACAGGCCATATACAAAACAGATCATGTACAACGCACGTCACATACAACACATGCTACAGGCAAAACAAATGATACACAAGACATGCCGCATACAAAGAAAAGCCAGATCCAAGCCTTACCGTGCTAAATGCATGCCACATGCTACACAGGTCATGTACGATGCAAGCTATATACACAACGTGCCATATACAAAACACACGGTACACAACCAATGCCACGTACAATACAAATCATATACGGAGGGGGAGCGCGATCTACCGTCGCTTGACTACATCAAATTCCCTCCATCCTCCTGGACACCGCGCATGATATCCCCCCCGATCACAAAAGAACAAAGGCGGGGAGGGGCACCCCTCCAGCCCAGAAACCGCGGGGGGGGGCGGTTGCCCACCCCCACCCCGGTCCAAACCGGAAGGGGGGAAGGGGGGTAAAATCCCCCCTCCCTCCCTCCCTCGGGTTCGAACCAGGTGGGGGGGGGAGTTCGGGCCGGGGCTGGGGCTGGAGCCCGCTGGGGCGGGGCCAGGGCCAGGGCCGGGGCTGGGGGCCAGGGCCGAAGGTTTGTTTGCTGTGTTTGGGTTTCATCCGGGCTTGGTTGAAGCTTTGTTTCATTTTTTGTTGAGCTCTGTTTGAGCTTCCTGTGAGCTGTGTTTGAGCTGTGTTCGAGCCTTGTTAGAGCAGTTGTGAGCTATGTTGTACCCTTGTTGGAGCTTTGCTTGAGCTTTGTCTGTTTGAGCTTTGCTTGAACTTTGTTTGAGTGTTGGTTGAGTTATGTTTGAGCTTTGATTGAACTGTGCTTGAGTTTTGGTTTAGCTTTGTTTGAGCATTCGTTGAGTTGTGCGTGAGCTTTGCTTGAACTGTCGTTGAGTCGTTGAGCTGTGCTTGAGCTTTGTTGGGGCTTATGTAAGCTGTGTTTGAGCCTTGCTCGAAATTTGCGTGAGCACATTTACGCTTCGCTGGAGCTTTGTTGGCGTTTTGTTTGAGTTTCGTTTGATATTTGTTTGGGTGTTGGTTGAGCTTTGTTCGAACTTCAATTGAACTGTGTGTGAGCTTTGGTTAAACTGTGTCTGAACTGTTTTGAGGTTGCTTTGATATTTGTTTGAGCCGGTTTTAAGCTTTGCTTGAGCTATGTTTGCGCATCGTGTGAGTTTTGTTGGAGCT